GGGGGGGACCCGCACCGCGGGGGCTCCCAGCTGCAGGCGGAGCTTGCCCGGCTGGTGTCTGGCCCTGGGCTCCTCTTGGGTGCCCTCAGCAGGGACGTTCCCCGGGTACCTTGTTAGCGGTTTCCGTGCTCTGAGCGGGTGACCCCTTGGGGCTCTGACCGCACACGCCGGGGCTGCCCCGCTCGGCTTGTGACGCGACGTGCGCTGCTTTGCTCGGCAGGGCTCAGCTTGGAAAAGATCGCGGCTTTCACCAAAAAACTGGCGTCAGAGCCGCAGTTCTTGCTTGCCCGAAATGTTGCAACCACCAGCGACCCACTGGAGGTGTGTCTCGACCGGCAAGTGGTGCAGGAGACGGTGCACGTGTTCCAGCATACCGTGCCTGTAGAAGGCAAGCCAGTCACTAACCAGAAAAACTCAGGTAAGGGAAAGTCTCTGCAAGCCCCAGACTTCTCAGATAGGCTGTTCCTTGACTGACCGTAAAGCAAAACCTTTATTAACTATGGCAGCATAAATCTATGAACCAAGTTACACTTACAGTGGATGGCTGGTGCTATGGTTTAAACTGACTTCTCGTTATGAAACATCACCTGGAAGAGTTCTTGCTATTTCTGAGTTCATACTGTATCACGTCTGCTCCTTATGCTTGTGGAAATAGTGACTGACGTACGAAGCCCTTTGAGGTTGAAATTACTCAAACAGAGAACTCGGAGAGAAATGGCACTCTTCCATAGTTTGGAAATGACATTGGTCTGAGGTCTGAAATCTGGTGTGGTCTTGGAGCAGTGCCAAAAAAGCCTTGCTCAGTCACTGGACCTGTGACAGTTTTAAAGTCTCCTGGTTTAAGACAGTAGATAGTAATTTGTTTTTAACATTTGAAGGCTGATAATCACGGATATATTTTTAAGCTGTCACTCAACCTACAATGGATTTAGCAGACAGAGAAAAGTTCTTCAGAACCAGTAGCTTCCCCCCCCACGCAAAGGTTCTAGATCAGGGGTGGGCAAACTTTTTGGCCTGAGGGCCACATCTGTGTATGGAAATTGAAATTCTGGGTCATGAATGCTCAGAAAATTGGGGATTGGCGTGTAGGAGGGGATGAGGACTCCGGCTGGGGGTGCAGGCTCTGGGATGGGGCTGGGGATGAGGGGGTTTTGGGGTGCAGGAGGGTGCTCCAGGCTGGGATCGAGGGGTTCAGAGGGTGGGAGGGGGATCAGGGCAGGGGATTGGGGCACAGGAGGGGGTGAGGGGTGCAGGCTCCATGCAGAGTTTACCTTAAGCAGCTCCTGGAAGCAGCGGCATGTCCCCCACTCCAGCTCCTACATGGATGCACAGCTAGGCAGCTCTGTGCGCTGCCCCATCCGCAGGTGCTGCCCCGCAGCTCCCATTGGCCGGGAACCATGGCCAATGGGAGCTTCGGAGGTGGCGCTTGGGGCGGGGGCAGCGTGCGGAGTCCCCTGGCTGCCCCTACATGAAGGAGCTGGAGGGAGGACAGGCAGCTGCTTCTGGGAGTCATGCGGAGCCACGTTCCTTAAAAAATCCTTTCAACATTCCCTATGAATAGATATTTATTGTATATTTTATAGCTAGGGAAACTGAGATAAAGAGAAATAAAGTGACCGTCACATTTCAGGGCATCTGCACCTGTATTTCCTCCTC